CAGGCAGGTCTCGAACCCGCGGGCTCAGGCAAACCACTCACTTCAGTCTCCCAAAGGCACGGGATTACAGGCTGAGCCACCGAGCCCGGCTTCAGACTATTTCTTATACTGTAACATTTAATTTTTAAAAATCATGCTTTTACTTGGTGAGACCTCATCTCTACAATACATCAAAAAAAAAAAAAAATTAGCCAGGCGTGGTAGTGCACACCTGTAGTTCCAGCTACTGGAAGGCTGAGGCGGAAGGATCGCCGGAGCCCAGCAGGTTCAGGCTGCAGTGGCCAGGAGCGGCCACTGCACTCCAGTCTGGGTGACAGAGTGAGACTCCAACTCAAAAAAAAAAAATCATGCTTTTCATTTACATTACTATGCTGTCATGATTTGTTCTGTGCCCTGTACACAAATATTCCAGCATTTTCAACACAAATAGAATACAGCTAAAACTTAATTCCAAAATTGCTCTGTCAGCATTTGATTTGAAAGTGATTTCAATATGAGGTAATTCAGGAGATTATTCTCAGCATTAACGTACCCAACCCACACATTTTTCAGGGAGAAGGATTCATGCTAAAAACTAAACTCTGACCTTTTTTTTCCTCTTGCCAAATTCCTAAGGGGCCTGCCCTCCAAAGTCGATTCACTTCTGTGCTCTATATGATGGGGTTTGCTTTCCAACCTGACTCTGGCATAACATGACACAACAGATAAAAGAAGGAAAACAAAATTATTGTATGACCCTGCAAAGCTGGCTCTTGGGGAAATTTGCATTTCTGAATAGAGTTTGCAGTTCCATGTAGAATCCCCTTTCTGGAGATCCCCAAAAGATCTAGACATCTGACATCCATTCTTTGTATAGGCTGCCACCCATGAGGCTTCATCTACATAACAAGAAACTTAACTTTCTCATACTGTCCCTTAACTTAACATTTCCTTCCCTGATTTCAAAATTCCTGAGACAGAGCCTAACTCTTGCTAGGACTTGCCAATCAGAAAATCTATCTTTGAACATGACCTGCAAGCCACCCTCACCACCACCCCCCACCCCTGCTGCCACTTAAAGATATCTTGCCTTCCCAGGCCAAACTAATGTAAATCTCGCATGGTTTTTTTGTAACTTCTGTCTCCTAAACTTCAGTTTAACCACCTCAAACACATGTTCTCAGGACCTCTTGGGATATTGCACATGGGCCTAGGTCACTCCTGTCTGATTCAAAATAAACCTTCGTAAATATTTTACAGAGTTTGGCATCTTTCCTCAGCAATATAGATTTTATAATGATCAATTTTTTTTTTGATTTATTGTAGAGATGAGGTCTCGCCAAGTTGCCCAGGAGGGTCTCGAACCCGCGGGCTCAGGCAATTCACTCACCTCAGCCTCCCAAAGGCACGGGATTACAGGCTGAGCCACCGAGCCCGGCGTGATCAATTTTTTTAAAACTTTAGTATAGATATTAAACACTGTAGCACTTTTACCTAAGTGTCATAAGAGGGCAAGATGTTATAGGAGAAAAATATGGCTTCTGGCTGAGATTCCTAGGGGAAATCTGGGGTCACCCACAGACAAGCTCTATGTCTAGGGATGGTCCCTGCCAGCCTAAATCCACATCTGAGAAATGAGAATAATAACTGAAGAGGCCAAGAGAAGACTTCCTGGTTGCCCGCTGAAATTTCACTGAAAAATCAACTCACAAAAGACAGATTAATGGGTTAAAAGGCATATAAAAGTGCTGGCAAGCACAGGAGGCATAGAAAATAAAAGAACTCAGCAAATGACCAGATGGTTGATGCTTTTCTACTATCTGAGGTTACAGAAAGATTGGGGATTTAGATCCTGGCAAAACAAGTTGTGGGAGGATGAGGCCAGGCTAGCAAAGGTAATCTTGTTAGTTAGATGAAACCTCCCAGGTAGCAGCCCTCAGAGGAGGTGGTGAATATTTCTTTCAGACATTTAAAGGTGTCAGACTGAGTGAGGCCCTTCCTGATTCAGACAAGGGATGGGCTGCCTGCATCAGCAGATTCTCTACAGATGCAAATATCTCCCTAAAAAAAAAAAAAAAAAAAAAGGCCTTGCAGGGCAGTTTCTGTGTGCTGACTCTGAACAGAATCTCAAAATATATCAAAAAAGTATATTTTGAGGTGGAATATTTTGGTTTCCTTCAACTGCCTTCACACCCCAGGGGGTAGATTTTAAAAGATCAAATAAACAAACCAGCCAATCTGTTGTTTTTGTGAAAGATCATTTTATAAACTGGAAAATAGCATGTAAACATAAAATGTCAGAGTGTGAAATCTGGAGTCAAGTTGCTGGCTGGATGTACATTTAGGTGGTGAGCGTGAACATTGGAACTTCTCTGGGCATCCCTTCGCCCACTGCCACCTCTGCAGCTTCTGGAGATGTTGTGAAGATTGAATGAGTGGACTGAGTGTGTGTGTGTGTGTGTGTGTGTGTGTGTGTGTGTGTGTGTGTGTGTGTGTGAAGCACTTTGCATAAGGCATAGCACTGAGTCAACACTCTCAACATATTGTTATTGTTTTGTTTTTCAGATATTTATTTGGATTGGCAAAGATGCTAATGAGGTTGAGAAATCAGAATCTCTAAAGTCTGGTAAGTTAGGTCCCATGAATGATTATGTTATGGTCCCAGTAACGCTCGGCTGCTTCCCTTGATGCCGATAAATCAAAGGGGCAGAGAACTGGTAGAAAGAAGTTCATTTCTGAGTTCGAATCCAGGGAGCATAGTCGGACTCAGGTCTTTCTAAAATGGTTCTGCTCACCCTCCAGGCATTTACGGTTCACATTTATAGTCCAGAGTTGTAGGTACCCATACATTAGCAACTGACTAGCAGAGCATTGTACAGAACTTAAGTTACGGCTGCATTTTACATTTAGATAGTGGCATTTGGGGTAAGGAAAGTTTACAAGGCCTACGATATCATGCATTGCAAAAGTTATGCAAATCACGAGACTTACAGTTACACTGATACTATGTATTCAAGGAAAGGGAGTAAATAGGGATTTACATCTTTGGGCTTAGTCTGCAGGGAAGTCAAGGATCCGCTGAAGCTACTTACTAAGAGTGCTTAGAAGACAAAGGGATTATCAGTAATGTGCTCGGGAATGTGCAGGAGCCCTTGAATCCCCACCATACCCTTCTCTAGGGGCTGTGGCAATGTGGACAGACATTAGCGGGTCTCTGTATCAATTACAGCAGCGTTGTGGCACCGTCATTACCAGTGTCTGACTGTTCTTTGCTACCACATCTTACAGAAATACATTTCGAAACCAGAAGTAGCTTAGCATTCATCCTCAAAACTAAAGAACAATGAGATCTTTTTAACTGAAGACTTTCAAAATGGGCCCAAGAAAAACATAGTTTGTTACTTAATTTAGAATATAATTATATCAAAGTTGGGCGTGTTGACTCATGCCCATAATCCCAGTACTTTGGAAGGCTAAGGCAGGAGGATTGCTTGAGGCCAGGAGTTTGACACCAACCTGGGCAACAAAGTAAAACCCAGTCTCTACAAAAAATAAAAAAATTAGCTGGGTATGGCGGTGCATTCAATACAAGGGAGGCTGAGGCAAGAAGATCACTTGAACCTAGGAGTTCAAGGTTGCAGTGAGCCATGATCATGTCATTGCTGTCCAGCCAGAGTGACAGAGTGAAACCCTGTTTCAAAAAGAAAATGTAAAGAATATAATTATATCAATTTATTCTGAAAAATTTCAATTCACTTAAACCCTTGTTTTATTATGAGAATGAAATTGTGATAGCCTAGATTTTTGTTGTTGTTGTTGTGTTTTAATTTCTTTTTGAGTAATGCTGTTTTCTTCTGGCAGAATGTTCTTTTTATTGAAAAGCCTAACAATAACTATGTGCCATAAGGATAATTCCTTGAAGCTCAGAATCCTTTCAGGCATTAGTGAGACTCTCTTGGTGCTTTCCATGGCAGAGGAGAGAAATCAAAAAGAAATTGTTCATATTTAGAAGCAATGTCTACTTAGAAGCAATGAAATTATTGGAATAATTTCCATTTTACAGTGACTTTAGTTTAATCCAAACTAACTGAATGTGTATGTATATGTCTTTGCAACTCTTTTTAGCCAAAATGTACCTTGAGACAGACCCTTCTGGAAGAGACAAGAGGACTCCCATTGTCATCACAAAACAAGGCCATGAGCCACCCACATTCACAGGCTGGTTCCTGGGCTGGGATTCCAGTAGGTGGTAAATTGATTTTTGTGAAAAGCAAACAAATAAATATTATGGGGCCATTCCTATTACTTTGGGGGAGGGGTTGCATTTTGTTTGGTTTTAGAAAATAACTTCACCAAGTGGCTATTTTTTTTTTTTGAGTTGGAGTCTCACTCTGTCGCCCAGACTGGAGTGCAGTGGCCACTCCCGGCCACCGCAGCCTCGTCCTGCTGGGCCCTGGCGATCCTTCCACCTCAGCCTTTCGAGTAGCCGGAATTACAGGCATGCACTACCACGCCCGGCTGATTTTTTTGATTTATTGTAGAGATGAGGTCTCGCTGCCCAGGCGGGTCTCGAACCCGCGGGCTCAGGCAATCCACTCACCTCAGCCTCCCAAAGGCGCAGGATTACAGGCTGAGCCACCGAGCCCGGCTGATTTATATCTTTTTATATGACCTTTTAATAGTAAAAACCTATGCACAATCTAGAGGAATTTGTTAAACAGGAAATTTTATAATTCAGCTGCCATTAGCCAACCTTGTTTTTTAACATGCCAGAGAAAAAAGGTTGGAGATTCTTGTCTTTTCTATATATTGTTTTCAAAAGAATTGTATATTTGCAGCAAGGTTTTTGTTTAGATGGGCTTTAACAATTTGTTATTATTTTCCTTCTAAATTTAGTCAATGTGACTGATGCCATTAACTCATGAGTATAATTTTCTAAGAGAAACTTTATCTTTTTTTAACCTTCTTAAAAGCACATATTTTCCATGACAAAATGTATTCTTAGCCACTTGGATATATCTATGTAACTGTACATGTTTAATACCACAACAGATACATGCAGAAAAACTTCACTAATGCTGTCTTTCATCATTAAAATACACCTCTTTTGGAAAGATTTTGTATTGTGACACTTTATGATACGAGTTAATTACACTATTAATTTTAAGGCTAAATACTTTTATGCATAAATAGATAGGAATTTAATATTTATTCATTCTCATTAAGTGGTCCAAAGTAAACTTCTCCATGGCTAGATAATTATGAAAAAATTTAAATATCATATCGCATATGGACCACAGGCCCCCGGAGAACAAAAGCTGGGAAAAAATCCAGAGCCCCAGGAAAGAGGAAACTGACTTTGGTGTCTGGATAGGAGGATGGATGGGTGACTGGGAAAGAGAAGGCAAGGAAAGAGGAAACTGAGCAGGGAATGATCTGTGGGATTCTTACCCTCACTCTGGGGAAATGAAGGGTGTATGTGTTTCAAACAGTCTTGGCAGGGGGAGGTGGGGGCCATGGCCGATGACCCCCTAAAGACTCACTGAAAAATCCCTGGTAGGTGGATGTATAGGAGAAAAGGTACACACATTTATTTAACGTGTATACGAGGCGCCTTCAAGATAAAGAACCCATTTCCCAATGAAGTTACAGAAAGAATGGGGCACTTGGATTCTGGAGCGGGGAGACAGTTCTCTTGAGGTGTAGCAAGTGATGAGCAGGAAAAAGTGAATGGAATGAATGGAATGGGGGAACAAAGAATGACTTGTAAATAGCTTCTTTGGAATCTAAATGAACCTGAGACACAGGCATTTTTTTTTTTTTTTTTTGGTTAAAAAATGATTGGGCCTAGTCTAGTTACATTCTTTCTCTCCTTTCCTGCAATATGAGATGATGGAAGGGGAAGCAGCTTTGGAAGAGAGAGTGGGTGGGAAGGAAGGTCAGAGGGACCTTGAAGCATCAGTTCAGCCTGTCAAACACCGTTTTGGAACCATTGGCTTCTGAGCTGCGACAGAGAAATGGCCCCAGTTCCATTATGGCCTAATGGTGAACGGTCTTGTGAAGTCCTGGGGCTTATAGGAGTTAAGGAAGTGGAGAGAAGTCCTGTTTTCAGGTGCTGTTCAATTAGTAAATACTTACTAGACATCTACTTGATGTCAGGCACTGTTCTAGGCACTTTGAATTCAACATGAGTGAAATAGACAAAATCCTGACTTTTATGGCGTTTACATTTCAGGGAAGAGGCCAAGAAAAACAAAATCAGCAAGGAGATATACTATAAAATATAATATACTAAAAGATACGTTCTGTCAAATTATTCCCCCAGTTAACGGACAAGATGGACTCCCCATGGCACAAAAGTAAAAGTAGACCCAAGAGGCTGTGGCAAGGTGAGGGAGGGGTCACACACTCTGTGTCCTTAGAAAGTGTTGCAAAGCCTGTTTTTCTGCAACCAAGTCAACAATTCCTGAAAAGTAACTGCAGCTAGGAATTCCCCAGCTATCCACCAACAGACCACCTGCCACTAACTGACTGACCACCTAGAAATAGCTAATGAGGAGATACTGGTGATTTGGGACTTAAAGTTCATCCAATCAAGACTGTTTCTCACTACCCCCACTGCCCTAAGAGTATTGCCTTTGTAATCACTAACTCTTCCCACCCCTTAGAGCCTGCTTTCACTTTACCCCGGAGGCCACATCTCCCCAATCAGAGAATATTTTTCTTGCGTTGGAGTCTCACTCTGTCACCCACACTTGTAGCCACAGCAGCCTCAACCTGCTGAGCTCAGGTGATCCTTTAGCCTCAGCCTTCCAAGTAGCTGGAACCACAGGCATGTGCCACCATTCCCGGCTAATTTTTTGATTTATGAGAGAGATGAGGTCTCACCAAGTTGACCAGATTGGTCTCGAACCCTGTGCTCAGGCAATCCTCTTGCCTTGGCCTCCCAAAGTGCTGGGATTACAGGCGTGAGCCATTGTGCCCAGCTTTTTTTTTTTTTTTTAATATGTGGGGTACAGTTCAGGGTTAGGTATATACAAATGTTCATTATGCAGATGCCCTTTTGGATGACGTGTGCCCCCCCCCCAGTTACTTTTTTATTTTTTTGTGAGTGGGAGTCTCACTCTCTCACCCAGGCTGGAGGGCAATGGCAAGCTCATGGCCACTGCAGCCTTGACCTGCTGGGCTCAGGTGATTCTTCCACCTCAGCCTTCCAAGTGGCTGGAACTACAGGTACATGCCACCACGCCCAGCTAATTTTTTGATTTATAGTAGAGATGAGATCTCACCAAGTTGCCTGGCTTGGTCTCCAACTCATGGGCTCAGGCAGTCTTCTCACCTTGGCCTACCAAAGTGCAGCGATTATAGGCTTAAGCCACCGTGCCCACCTTTTTTTTTTTTTAATAAATAGAACTCTCCCATTTTCTTACACGGACTTCATGGTCTTTTGTTAACAGTTCTATGGATGAGAAAATAAAGGGAAGGAGGCTAGAGAGCAGTCAGTGAAGAGTAGGGCAGTGTACGATTTTAATAGTGTAGCCCAGGAAGCCTTGTTGAATAGGTAGGATTTAAACAGAGAATCAACAGTGGGCAGGAGTGAACCTCATGGTTAACGTCCAAGCAGAAGGACTGTCAGGTACAAAGACCTGGAAAGGGGAGCATGTCTGATATTATGGGCTGAAGTCCTCAGTTCCAAACAAACCCAGGGACTCAGAGGCAGTGTTGGTAACAGCTGAGCACTGAGGAGGAAGAATCTATGAACAGCATTGCCCAGCCTCAACAGTGGAGGTGGACAAGGAAATTACCACCAACTATAGCCACTATTTCAAGAAGACTTAAGAGCCCAATGCTTAGTCAACTGAAGTTTGCTTTCAGCTCAATACAGAGCAGTTGATTATCCTCATGTCCTGATCCCTGAGGAGGGATAAGCTGATAAACGTATTTCCCTTTAAACAATCAATGTAAGGTCACACAGATCGTGATCATTGAAGTTTGATGGTCTGAAGGGTATGAGCAACTCTAATCTTCAGGGAACCCAACCTCCCACATTCTGACTCTATAACACCTTAGTGCCCCAGAGTCAGTAGCCAGTGGTCACAGAACTTGCTTTATAGATAAATCCTTTACCGTAAAACTATAGAATGATGTTTGAGATGTTTTTCAGACTTCGCACTCATGGACCTGAGACCTCACCTGGACCCAGGACACATGCTAAAAGGCAGGCTCCACCAGTCCTGTAGCACCCACTCCCAGAAACTGGCTCTGTGGCATGAAGACAGTTTCAGTACCTCCCATGACATCATCTCTAACCAAGAGCAGTCCCCAGCCTCTTGCTCGCCAAATCCCCTTTAAATCCTGAGCCTCTGAATTCTTTTTGTTTTTTTGAGCTGTAGTCTCACTCTGTCGCCCAGACTGGAGTGCAGTGGCATACTCCTGGCCACCGCAGCCTCGACCCACTGGGATCCGGCGATCCTTTCGTCTCAGCCTTCCAAGTAGCCAGAACTACAGGTGTGCTCTACCGTGCATGAGGTCTCGCCAAGTTGCCCAGGTGGGTCTCGAACCCCGCGGGCTCAGGCCATCCACTCATCTTGGCCTCCCAAAGCGCTGGGATTACAGGCTGAGCCACCAAGCCTGGCCTCCTGTTTCTATTGTAAAAATTGCCACAAAGCTGGGCTCGGTGGCTCAGCCTGTAATCCCGCGCCTTTGGGAGGCTGAGGTGAGTGGATTGCCTGAGCCCGCA